TTGTCTCATTAAAAATATTAATAGTGCAAGTCATTCTGAAGAGTCAGAATTAATGAACCAGGGAAAAGCAAGAGGTGCTTCTCTGTGCCGAGTCGGGAATCCAGGAATCATCTCTGTGAGATACACACAAAATATATGTTTGCCTTCTACTTTCTGACTAAGAGAAAGAAAAAAGTTAAAAACAAGCATTTATTCAACATGTGCTTAATGTACCTGTCAGAAGATTTATCTTCAGTACTCAAGGTTTCAGAATGGTCAAAGCAATGACCACAGACTGACCTGGTTTCGGAACTTGGCTCTGCTGCTACCTGTGCAAGTACCTTCTGCTGTCAGCCCTGGTTCTTCATCTCTGAAATGAGCATGCTAATGCTTACCTCATGGGGCTTTGTGAAGAACAGATATGAGGATGGTTGTAAAGTGCTCAGTGCTGGGTGTTTTCTAAATACATGCCCTAACCAGGAACAAAGGCCCTGTTTGCTGCAGAGGAAATGAGCTCTCAGCCTCAGGCTCACCTCCATGTAACACTTAGTGTTTACAGAGAGGTCCTTCCTGCTTCATTTTCCCTTCACACAGGTGCCTAAAGATGCCCAGGTTCAGGTTACATTCAGCCCAACTTAGGGTGGCTGTGCAGCCTCTGTGTTTTCATACCCCCCCCCCCATTTTTTCTCTCTCCCTTACAAACTGGTAGAAGGCAGGGTTTGGTCATTTATGATTATAACTATCTAAAAAAATAATCAGGGAAGGTGTGGGGTTTTTTAAGTCTTCAGAAAAATGCCACAGGCAACCTTCTTACTTAGGGTCTCTTTGTGTTTTATGGATGAATTGATGTTTATACAGATTTTTTTTTCTTGCCATAAAGAGGTTATGGTTTGGCTTCTTATTCCCTGCATATAATTTAAACAGCATGAAATAAACAAGGTAATTCTAAATTTGGAAAACAAAAATGTGGGTTGTTGCATTAACAGGAATTTAACCTAATATTATAAGTTCCGGAAGTCAGGACTCCTGGTTCTAACCATAATTTTGCTGCTTTTGTGATCTTGGATAAAGCACTTTAGCTTCAGGACCTTGTTACCCCATGGATGTTTCCTAGCCCAGCAGCACCAGGTTCTTCTAGGACATTGTTTAAAATGTAAAATTTGAGTTCTCACCCCAATCTGCTAAATATGAATCTGAAACTCTCCCAAGAGCCCCAGACGATTGGCTTATAAACATTGACATTTGTAAAGCCCTGGTCTGAATCTGTTGCTCTTTGGTCAAATGAGATGGTACTTCCCACTTGAACACCTCACAGGGTTGTGATAAAGAACAGATGAGATAATATGATACATATAAACATCATTTTAAACTGCAGAGCTCTGCCTGAATGTGAAAACAGATGATAATCTTGTTATTACACAAAGTGCTTCTCAATGGTAATCACTGTAATGGGATTGGTCTCTCTTGATATTTGCTCATGATACTTCAATAATATTTTCCAGACTATGACCTTTCGAAGATGAGGGACTTCATCAACCAACAAGCTGACGCTTATGTGGAGAAAGGCATCCTTGATAAAGAAGAAGCTGATGCCATCAAGCGCATCTACAGCAGCCTGTGAAAATGACAAAAGATCCAGGAGTCTTTTGACTGTTCCAGAAAACATAATGTAGCTTAAAACACTTCTAATTCTGATTAATTTTTTTTTACCCAAGAATTATTAGAAAGTGCTGAGTTTACAGTAGTTAACCTTTTAGAAATGGATAAAACATAGCTTTCTTGCCACAAAAACTATCTGAAAAGTAAAATTGTATGTAAGCTGAGATTTTGTACGTAGAATTCTTATTTCTTCATAGATTTACATTTTATAATCAATGTTGCTCTAGAAAAGCCTCTCATGGACTGAATATAAAACTAAGACTTCTGTCTCACAGACTTACACACACTCCCCGAAGAATGAAGGGGGTTCTGTTATCAGAGCATGATGGATCCCAAACCACCTTATTCCAAAATGTCATTTCCACTACAGTTTCCCAGTGGGCACTGAAATAAATTCACATTTCTGCAAACCCTCTATAGCTTGAAAGCCATCTGCTTCTTCAGTTGCTCTTTTTAGGAGGCTCTTTACTAGGCCCAGTGGACAAAAAGGAACTTGAAAAATGGGTATAACATTCGCTGGATCTGCCCAACATGGTGGTGTACACCTATAATTTCAGCTGTTTGGAAGGCTGAGGCAGGAGAGTCACTAGTTCAAGGCCAACCTGTTCAATTAAACAAGACCCTGTCTCAAAATTAAAAAAAAAAAAAAAAGGCTCAGCCCTGGGTTCAATCCCCAGTTTTGCAACAACAAAAAATTTTGTTGACTTTATTAACATTTTATCCCCACTCAGCATTTTCTGTGAGTTCTTAGACACTGAGTTTTCAGATAAAGGGGGATTACTTATATGCTCTCCAAAAAGATAATTGAGGTTGTAAACAGTATAAAAGCATGTTTAAAATTTTATACCAGATCTTGGTTATCTAAACTGGATTTGACCCAAGCAAGGTGGCTCAACAGAGAGCAAAGGACCAGGTAAAGTAGAAATAGAGATTGACAACCATTAATCTCTTAGTTCCCTGTGAACTAAGTTAGAAGTGCTTCCCTGAAGGAAAAGTTTAGTGAATTTTGGGTTCCTGCAACTCCCCTTACCACAGACATGGCCCTGGAAACAAGCATACAGAGGCCAGGCTCCTCTTAATAATGAGTCAGTGTTCCCAAAGAGGGCTTTGAAATGTATTATTCAGTGTAAATTAATTACATAAATATTTTTCTACTGTCAAAAATTAACACAATGCTTTGTATATTATCAGCCACTATTTCAGATTGGCCTTCTGATGCCTGTGTTGCTGTCTTGAGGATCCTACCAGTATTCTCCTTGCAGTGAGGACTGAGAAACTTACAGGACTTGGTTAAAGGCCATTTTTCAGGAGTAGGAGACCAATGCATCCCTTCCCAATCTCTTCAGAGAGTTACAGAAGCAAACAAAAACCAAAGCCTGACAGACACACAAACTAAGCTGAGCATGTTCTAGAGAAGCCAGTACCCACTAGTGAGTAGGGAGAGGGAGCCTTTGCCCAAACTCCACTTGCAAAGCACAACTCAGACAGCTTTAATGAATCTTGAGATAACATGACCAGCTGCAGTCACGTCAAACAGGCTGCTTCTATTTCAGACAATGAACTGGCTTGGACTAAACATTTTATCCATTTACTTTTCTATATGAATAAATATGCAATATTTTTTAAAATATGAAATTTATTTAGAGAGATTATTCTAATTTTCAAAGTAAAGTGACCTTCGTTAGCTCCCATTGATAACAATGACAAAAGGGAAATCATTAGCTTTGTTTTTATAAATGAGGAAAGTGGTTCACCTAAGGAACAAAAAGACATGCTCAAACTCATGTGGCCTGGATGGTGAAGATGGACCTTAACAGAACATGGTTAAAGGCCAGGTTTCTTGTCTCTGTCCACTCTTTCATAGTGATTCTATACCAAGGTAGGGACTAAAGTACTCTAGACCTGTACAGCTCAACTGTGGCCACAAAGTTATTAGGAACTTGATATGACAGAATTTCCACAGGAAATTGCTAAAAGAGGCAAAAATAAAATAATGAAAAAAATTCAAGATTGTGGTCTTAATTTCAAATTTGAGTTTATATGTTTTGGATAGTATCTTTGGATTTGTATTTTGGATTACTCTTAAATTTCAGATCATTTTATGTTAAATATCATAACTACATTTTAAAAAGTCCCTAGGCTTCCACAGAGGTTTGCTTGGGCCTTTTTTACAGGCATTTTTGTTTCCCCCCCTTTTTTTTAAGCTTTCTCTTTTTCCAACTAACTCCCCACAGTTCAGGTAGTAGTGGATACAAGGAAATGGCAAAGCATGATCAATAGAGCACCCTGTTTCAAAGATGCTATAATAGCATGAAGAAAAGAAAAAAAAAAGGTGCGGGGATAATGCATGTCAAGTTATAAACGAGAAATGAGCAAGTAAAGAGCAGACAGCTACTGCTTCCCATCAATGGTCTGCCTGATCAGCCTCCAGGTTGGATACATGCAGTTCTGGTTCTGCAAGCTCTGCTGCACTGCCATCTAAAGGCACACGTTTCCTGTTCCATAGAACAAAACAGGGAAGAAGAAAATAACAGAAAAAATAAGAAAGGGACAACAAAAGTCCCTTTTGGCTGGGTGCAGTGGCAAACAACTGTAATTCCTGGGAGTCTGGAGCAAAAAATCTCAAATTCAGGCTAGCCTCAGCAACTTAAGTGAGGCCCTAAGCAACTCAGCAAGACCCTGTCTCAAAACTAAGGGCTGGGGATGTGGCTCAGTGGTAAAGCACCTCTGGCTTAAATCCCCAGTACAAAAAACAAAAAAATAATGAAAATTCCTTTTGCTCCAGAGACAGCAAACACCTGTTAGGGGATGCTGATGAGCTTAGGGATGGTGATGACCGGTAAATACAGAGAACTGCTGTGGAAGCATAAAGACTTAATCTACTGGTTAAATAGAAATTGATACCAAAACCATACTTAATTGTAAATAGTATATTGCTTGAAGTTTACTGCTATAACCTGTAGTATAAAAAAATAAGACAAAAACCTAACTCTAAATTCAAATAATGTGGAATATATTACATAGTGATGTATTGGAATACACTGTACAGTGATTACATACACAACACTCTATAAAATGACTTGGTAGTAAAATGTGAACTAGAATTCAGAAATGTGTCAGAACTTGGTACTATTTATTTATTTGTATTCTGTATTTTCATTATATCTGAATCACATTAGGTCAACAAAAATGCAAAGGATGCTAGGAACTAGAATTTATTTGCTTTTAGATCATCAAAATTTCTTTCAAAAATTGCATTTATAATAACAAAAGCCATTAAGATGGGGGAGGAGTTGTCATCATTTCAAAACATAATTTAAAAATTAATTTTTTCCCATTTTGAAAAAAAATGAAGACTCATATGTGAAAACATAGTTTATTTTCTCAGACTTTTGTAGTTTATTTTTACAAAATAGCAGACAAAATTTGGTTCTTTGTATTAATACAGAATATGTAATACATATTGAAATATATATATGTATATAGCACTTAAGTTATAAACACACAGCAAATTCAGCATCACTTAAACAGCCACCGTGTTTTTCACATAATTAGGATTTCATTAGGAGCTAAACACTGTTTTCAGCTTAAATATATAAAGTCTTTGATGCTTATCTCCACCAGTGTTTACAAAAGCTAGTCTAAAAACTATTACCACCTACAAAAGTAATAAGCTTCAGAATATAATTTTGCTATCATGCCATAATAAAAACTGAACATTATAGAAAGCCAGAGGGAAATAACCACTTCAGTGCAACTGCAGTAGGTAGACTTAATTATGATTTTAAGATGAGTGCTATGGGAATCCAAAAGGGATGCTTCTGGATCTTCAGTCACCAGATTCTTTATGGCCCAACCACTGCTTAATCCAGGTTAGAATCATGCTACTAATCACCTAACTGTGATAGAGGGACGTTGCATAGGGACTTTCTTCATCTCTAAACAAACAAACAAAAAACAACAAATATAGCATAAATTAGTATTTAAAATTATAATCAGAAATCTAAAACAAATATATATATATATGTTAAGGTACAACTTAATACCTACTGGATAAGAGTGTATCCACTTAAGAGTATTGTGCACACCTTGAAAGTGGCATGAAAAGCAAATATTAATTAAGGCATACCTTACTATCTCCATCTTACTGGTGTCTCAGTTATTGGAACAAATAATGATATATAATTATTAAATATATTACATTTATATAAATTATATTCATATTTATATCTTTTTGCTTTCTATATGCCACTTCTTTCTCAAATGGAACTGAGGTACCTAAAACAAATAGCATATTTATAACAAGATGAATAAAGTAGAGATTAAAAAATCAGGACTAAGGAAAGGAAAAGGAAGCCAATAAAGTAACCATAGAAGTACTACATAGAGGTCAAACCTGGGCTATTTTACTTGTAAGTTTCCCAGGATCCAGGGGGAAAAACCAATTCTAGAGGAGAAAGAAAGGTTTGCTCCAGTACCAAATTTTAAACAAGGTAAAAAAAACTCATAGGAGGACTGGGGTTGTGCCTCAGTGGTACAGTGCTTGCCTAGCATGGGGGAGGCACCACAGGCTCCTCTTCATGTGAAAAACTGCTATCAACTAGGTTCAATCCTCAGTACCACATATAAATAAATTTTAAAAAATAATAAAGGTCCATTAACAACTAAAAAAATATTTAAAAAAAGATTTCACAGGAAATCTTATGTAGGAAACACTTGCCAACAAATAAGAGACAATGTTTTTGACAAATTTTATAAAGGTCGGTATTGTCCAAGTTTTCTTTATGGCACTGCTTCGTTTGAACAGTCAACAAGATGCTATCCAGAATTACTAGCTGGACATTAATGTTATTAAAGCAAAGAAGCAATTTTTTTATAATAAATAACAGAGACAAAAGCATTTGTAACAGATAAAGCCTTAAGCATTAAGGCTTTATCTGTAGCTCTCTTTGCACTTCATACATTAGAAATGTCTTTCTAGAATTAAAATGTAAAGCAAGGACATCTTAAGAGTAATTTAATCAGCCTCTGACATTTTTTACCAGGGAATTTTTACCTGCTTTCTTCTTTTAGTTTCTTGGCTGCCTGTGTTGATAATTTAATCTGCAAATCAAGTCTTTGAAGGAAATCTCTGGCTGACACTTCCTCAGGCTGCACAGGCTGAATCTCAGATTCCTGAGGACTGGGAGGAGGGAGGTCTTCCCCACCCACCACAGGCTCCTCTTCATGTGAAAAACTGCTATCAACAGTTTCATTTTCTGGAGAATCAACGGAGTTAAGTCCATTAAACAACAAAGGCTTCTCTGATATAACTGGGATGTTCAAAGTTTTCTTCAGAAATATACAATCATTGGTAAACAGTTTATTGGCCCTTTTAATCTGTTCCATCTAAAATATAAAAAAAATGAAACACAGAGTTACATATAACCAAGTCCAGGAGGAGGATTTACTATACAATGCTGAGCAACATTGACTCTTCAACTGACTCTTCTCTGATAGAGTCTTGCTAAATTCATGAGCAATGTATGTACAATGCCTTCTCTGATTCGAGTCCTCACTTGAGTTTGGTCACCTCATAGTTTGGTCGAACTATGCTGCATCTGAACTTGTTGGAGAAACATCTGTGCTTACATTTATCACACTGTATTATAGTACATCTACAGACTTCAGCTGACCAGCCTGAGGACCTGCACCACATCAGGCACTCCACATACTAGATACTTCTAGTTATCAAGAGAGATGTCATTAAATTCTGTTTCCCAATCTTAAAAAAGGAAACTCATTTTCCCCCAGTATATTATTTCTGCTATAAGGCAGTCTTTAGCATTGATGGCCCAAAGTCTCTGAAGTTAAAAAATATAGGATTTTAAGCATTTTTTAATGCATTTTATTCTTATTTTAACATTTGCATTGTCTGTATTAAAACCTGTTTCCTATCATTGCTACTTACTTGTGGAGAGCTTCCTATGTCTCAAGAATTGTGCTTGGTGAATTAACAGATACAGGAGGTAGTAGAGGCATCAGTACAACCAGATTTGGAAGAATGATATAGGCTAGAGCTACGGTCAGTCTCACAGAGAAGGTGGATTCTGATTTTGACTCTTTTGACTTCAAGTAGGACTTGAAAATGGGTAGACACGGGTAAAGAAAGGTGATGGGGGCATTTTACATGCAGTATCTCATTCTTTTGCCCACATGGAATGGGTATGTGAAGATCCACTTTATAAACAGAAGACAGTAGGCTTAAAAGATATTATGTATGAAAGAATCATCATATAACTGGCAGATGAAGAAGCTAGAATTTAATATGTTTATAATGTAATCTAGTATTTAATATAGATATGTTGTTGTTTTGAAAGTTTTTTTGGTTTTTTGGGGGGTAGGGAGGACTCCAGGGAATGGAGCCCAGGGGCCTTTCCCACTTAACTACACCACAGTCTTTTTTAATTTTCAATTTGAGTTAGGGTCTTGCTAAATTGCTGAGGCTAGCCTTGAACTTGCAATCCTCCTGCCTCAGCCTCCCCAGCAGCTGGGATTACAGGCATGTGCCACTGCAGTTGGCAACACAGATTTTTTTCTAACCTACAATTCTTTCATAGTTAGTGGATGCCTCCCTCAAACCCCAGATGTGAAAAAGAAGGGTGAGGGGGGAAGAGAATTTACACAAGTTATCTCATTTAAACTTCAAAACAATCTAAATATTAATATTATCAGCTCCTCTTCACAAATTAGGAAAGAGAGGTAAGTGGCCTGCCGGAGTCCACAATGCTGGTGAGCGCAAAACTCAAACTAGGCTGTATCTGAGCTTGTTGGAGAAATGTCTGTGCTTATGTTCATCACACTGTATTATAATGTGTCTATAGACTTCAGCTGACCAGCCTGAGGACCTGCACCACGCCAGGCATTTCCACACACACTCCAGCATCTCATTTGTACCTCTCTTTCTCGTGATGTAACTTATGTGTGGATATGTGTGTGTGTGTGTGTGTGTGTGGATATAACACATATACATATGGAGAGAATATGTACAAAAGTATTACATATGTTCTACACATATTAGATAGATGTTAGGAGTGGCAGTGGATGGTACTTTCTATTCTCCGTTTTCCAATGAAGAAATTCAAGCACACGAGAGATGATTAATTGATTTGAGCACGTGCATACAGCTCTATCAATGTCTGAACTGGAAGTTCTGTCTGACTCTAAAGTCCCTATGTCTGGATAAAAGTGAATGATTAATGGAATCAAATTATGGGAGCATTTAATACTAAATTGATTCTGAGTAGCAAAAAAAAGAATTATGTTTCTACTTCTAAGAGCCTGAAGACACAACAGTCAAAGAAATTAATCCTGTTCCTCCTGCTTTCCCATGATAAGCTGAATCCATGCAAATAGTACCTTCAAAGCTTTTGTTTGTTTGTTTCTCTTTTAAAAGAGACTACAAAAGAACAGAGAAAGGATGGTCCTTTGTGTGGTAGGTGCAGGAGATGGCAAATGGCAAGAAAGAGACCAAAGTCATGAGCAGGTCCATTTTAGAGAAAAAATTAAAATTTCCAAGTATCTCTGGTCTTGCTTAGGTTTAGATTGGAGAGTGTTAAATAACGTCAACACTTTGCAAGATCCTGTCTCAAAATAAAATAAAAAATTGTTGGGGATGTAACTCAGAGACAGTACCACTGAATTCAATCCCCAGTATAAAAAAAAAAAAAAAAAAAAAAGACTGACATCTATAACAAGGGCTGGTAAATTACTGCCCAGGAACCAAATCTGGCCCATCACCTACTTTTGTATAGCACACAAGCTAAGAATGATTTTCACACGTATACACGGTTGGAGGGGGAAAAAACAAACAGAAGAACACATTTCCTGACACATGAAACTATAGTAAAGGTTTACTAACTCCTGATTCCTTGAATTTTATAGAATAGCAGAAAATCTTTGATTTTGCATACAGGTGGCTTTTTAATTAATTAAAATTAAATGATATTGATAAATATTATACACTTTGTATTATGGTTTGAATTGCCTCCAGCCAAATAAAATGAAATGTTGAAGTACTAATTCCAAGTTAAAAAAAAAATTAAATGAGAAGTGGTATTATCTATTGTGATGGTTATTTTCCTTTTAAACCTATCCTCACCTCTCCATCCATTCCCATCTCTCCTTGAGCCTGTTCTGAACCCTGGGGGCTAACCTTTCTTAATTGAGGGGGATACATGGGATTGAACCCAGGGGCACACCACTGAGCCACATCCCCAGGCCTTTTCATTTGTTGAGACAGGGTTTCACTAAGTTGTTTAGGGCCTCACTAAGTTGCTGTGGCTGGCCTTGAACTTGCAATCCTCCTGCCTCAGCCTCCCAAGTCATTGCAATTGCAGGCATGTGTGCCACCAAGCCCAACTAAGGGGGTGGGGGAGAAGACCTTTTAAGAACTACATTTCCCAAGCCTCCATATTCTTGAAATGTTAGTTGGTTAACTAAAGGAAGACACCATAATTCTGGTGGTTTCATTCTTCAATGGCCTTAATTTTTTATCAGGCAGTCCCTCATCCCAGACTCCACCCCTCCACCAAGGGAAGACTGGATTTCCCTTGGTACTTCAGGCCTAGGATGGATGTCTTCCTGCTGTGGCTGTGTCTGAGTTCCTCACTACCCCTTGTTGGTTCCCTTCACCCTGTTCATACTCTATAAAGGTCCCTTCATGAAAGTCTGTGAATTCCCAAGTTGCCATGTCCTCTGAGTATGCTCTCTCTATCCAGCTAGGACCCTGACTGATAACATCCATCATGCAGAACAACACAGGCCATTAAGGTCCAGCCAGGGACCAAGGATACTGAGCACAAGACAAGGTGACTGAGTGGGGGCCTGGGTGCAGTCAGAGAGACTACAGGCAGTGAAGAACAGGGCTCTCCAGGCTCTTCTGTGCCCTACTGTGCAAGTGATTCACTACAGAATTGCCTTCTAACTAGTCCTGAGCTTTCTGGCATCAGGGACTGTGTTTTCACTCAGAATGATCAGTAAGCATTTAAGGTATTCATTGATGGGATGGGCATGGTACTCCATGCCTGTAATCCCAGCTAAAGCAAGACGATCACAAATTCAAGGTCAGCCTAGACAACTCAGTGAGATTCTGTCTCAAGTAAAATAAAAAAAGGTTGGGGGTGTAGCTCTGTGGTAGAGTAATTGCCTGACATACCCAAAGCCCTGGGTTCAATACCAGTAAATTAGGGATATCCAGATGTAGTTAGCATCAAGATGGGAACCAATCTACAGACAGATTAGATCTGAGTCAGAAGGTGAAACAGGTAAATGAGTTTAAGTTAGTAGTTAGACACACAGGCCACACTTTCTGGGTTCACATTCTGGTTTTTCCACTTACTTACCATTCTCTACGTCTGTTCTCTTACCTGTAAAGTAATAATAGGAATAGTTCCTCTCATACAATATGACTGCTATGAGGATTAAAAGAATTGGTTTATGTAAAATATTTAGAACAATACATGACAGAGAGGAAGCACTAAAAAATGTTAGTAACTATCATGATTATATTTGGGTAAAAGTAAGAAAGCAACAGGTAAGGGCAAATCTTTGTTAACAAATATTTAGCTAATGAGAAGGAGGAGGATAGGAATTTTCTCCCATTAAACTTTTTAAAATCTCTCCCAAAATTAGAATATATAAAGATTGTATATAAACCAGCCAACATGAATAACATATCTCCAACAAAACATTTTTAAAAAGTAAAGAATTTTATCTGAACTTTACAATAACTTAGACCAAGAGCATAGGCTCCAAATTCTGTTACCTATAGTAATGTCAAGGCAAGAAACAGCTATGCAAAAAGCCAGGGAGGGGGGGACAGACACAAATACCCACGATTCCACCTATAATCCTAGAAACTTGGGAGGCTGAGGCAGAAGGATCACGAGTTCAAAGCCAGCCTCAGCAACTTATCAAGGTCCTAAGCAACTCAGCAAGACCCTGTCTCTAAATAAAATACAAAAAAGGGCTGGGGATGTGGCTCAGTGGTTAAGTGCCCCCGCGTTCAATCCCTGGTTTAAAAAAAACAAAACAAAACACACCCAGGATTCCATCCAGAAAGAACAGCAGCAACACCCCAAACTGTGTGGTGAAATGTAGGGAGTAATAAGCCAACTTCAGGCTTAGGTAAAGAATTTGGAATTTATTTTGAATGTGATGAGAAGCCACTGGAAGATGAATGAAGAGAATGACATGATCTGATTACAGTTAAAGATCACTTTGCAACTGTGCAGAAAATGGGTTGGCAAGAAAGAAGCACTGGTGGAAACAGGAAGTCCAGCTATGGAAGTAAGCACTGAGGCTCATATGAGAACCGTGGGTAATCTAAAACAGTGAAAGACATTTTG